GACTCACAGAAAAACAGATGCAAGAAGAGGTTATAAAAACCGGCAAAAGTCGTAATTGCAAAATACAATTCGACAAATGAAAGTATCATAAGCAGGCTAGATAACAAATCTGTATCTCGGTTTGAAGTGTTCTTTCCCACGGGTTGCAAGATTGTCTCTGTCTCATTAGATGGCATTAAACAAATTCCCTGCATTAATGGAGAACTTCGGCCTTGATATAAACAAGGAGTTAAATGCTGGCAAGGGAAGAGAGGCTACAATGTTCTTTCCCAGCTTTGTAAACCATGGTTATGAAGTCAGAAGAGATAGCCTGAACCTTGATTGCAAATTAAAACCTGACAAGACATTACCTTGATGTGCATGTGGGTGTTCCTCCCGACTATGGCTTCTTCTCTTTTTTTCCAGCTGCTGCGGGAACTTATTGAACGAAAGACCAGCTCCTTGGACCCAAATGACCAAGTGGCCATGGGCAGGTGAGCCAAGCGCCGGGATTGTGTTTAGTATCATTTGTTTTAACTAACTGGTGATTCTGGCTGGTGGGTTCTGGGAGTTGTAGTCCAAAAAGCTACTTTCTCAAGGTGCCTAGAAGTGTGTGGCCCTTCCAGTCAGTAATTTTGATCAATGTACCGTGGAGCCTTTTCAACCATGAGTGACTATCCAGATAATCATTCACCTACAGTTTCTAACATAGCCAGTAGTGATGGCTGATGGGCATTGTAGTCCCAACAGCATTTGGAAGGCCACAGGGAGTCACCTGTGTCCTAAAATTGACCAGATAGGCGGGATATGAATGAATGAATGAATGAATGAATGAATGAATGAATGAATGAATGAATTCCCAAACATCACAGCTTGTGGTTTGAACAAATCGTATATTTTAGCCACAATGGAGAAACCAGTTCAACCTCAATTTTTCTGGTATTGGGGGTTCTACCAGCTGGAATAGCAGAAGGAAGGGTGAGGGGAACGCTTAAGAATATGTTTTATTTTGCAATGCATTTTTTGCCAAAGTTGTTCCGGAAAGAATAGGAGGCTGTGGAGCAGGAGAAAGGGGAGAGAAAGATGAACTGTGCTTCGAGTTACAAATATTTTTTATTTTTAAACTAGAAAATGGCACTGCCTTTACCTGATTTACTTGTTGCAGAGCCCAGCATCGGAGGGGAAATCTCAAAATCCAATTACCACAATCTTAATATAATCTTAATTACCGTAATCTATTTTATTGTAAAGTCAGATAAATGTGCAGTGTAATCACTGCTTAAGTGCAGGGTTTTTTGGGGGGCTGCATCGTATTAAATTATAGCAGAGAAGCTTCCATAATATTCTAGACATACCACCAAATAAACTTGGCACGGTGCACTAAAAACCTAGGCGATATTTTAACGAGGCTGGAAACGATTTCGCCAGCACGCCTGAGCTTTCCTTAACACATCAAATGGGTTTTCAGCAGCAAGTTCTGTTTTTAGCACTTCTGACTTTCTTTTTTATTTGGTTTTTGGTCTCTCTCTCTCTCTCTCTCTCTCTCTCTTGGTTTCTTTTTTAAAGTGTACTTCCCAGTTATAGTCAATGGCTGTTCTTAAATGTTTGTCTTAAAGGATTTAGAAATGTGGTGTGTGAGAGAGAATCAATGTGTATGGGCTTAACTGGGCGCTCTTCTTTTTGGTTTCTTTTTTAAAGTGTACTTCCCAATTATAATCAATGGCTGTTCTTAAATGTTTGTTTTAAAGGATTTGGAAACATGGTGTGTGAGAGAGAATCAACGTGTATGGGCTTAACTGGAGTGTGTGTGTGTGTGTGTGTGTGTGTGTATCCTTCTAATTGCACTGTATTCTGGGAATGTAGAAGATGAGCTTTCGGTACAATCTTTAAATGTACCATGTTTTAATTATTTAATTATAATATTTATTACTTCTCTCAAATTAAAAGGGTTATCAGAACCATCTACATATCCGTTTTAAAAAGCCCTTGCCTTGAGGTTTACAGCTGCCCATCCCCCCAAGAAAAGATCCCACGTAGAAGGAAAATGGCAGGGATGACCAAGGAAAACCTAATGTAAATTTTTTGATGTTATGAATTTGGGAAGAAGCCAAGCCTTCTGTAACAGACTTCTCAGGAAGCCTGATGGTGGCCCAGCTTTCCTTCTCTCCCTCTTTCTTGGCTGGGAGTCATTCTTCCAGGCCATTCAGTTTTTAAAATATGGAACTGGCCTTCCTCTGGACTCCAGTTCAGTTAGTGCGGGAGATGCTAGCTTTTTCCAGGCCCCCATCTATCTCAGGGGCCAGCTGGATGGTAGACTACAGCCCCTTATTTCATGCTGAGACCTGGAGGAACTAGGATGGCTCTGAGAAAACTGATCTCAGACCATGCTGCAGTTAGAGAATGAGATCTAGGCTTCTCACCATGTACACGACTCTCTGATTCGTCAGACTCCACTTTTCAGCTTGGCATTGAAGTTGGCTGCTCATCTCAAGTGATTTAAAGCCTGGTTTACCTGCTGCTTTCTATGATTTGAATGTGTGGACTTGTATGCTTCCCAGTTTGTCCTCATCTAGTTCTAGAGAGCTCAGAAGCTGGCTTCCGTCATGCATTTGCAATGGATCCAAATAAAAGCATTGCCCTTCTGTGGATCTGGAGTTTTGTTTTACTCCTGTGGAGTCTTTTATTCTTTTCTTTTGGAATTACAGTGAAATGTGCGGTCAAAAGATCAGAGCAGCAAAGGCACAGACATTGCTGGCAAAACACTTCAGTCAAGGAGGCAGGAGCAGGATTTCCCTGCTCTTTCAAGGAAACCCCTTCCCATTCAACCTTGCTTCTCCATTTTTTTTTAATTCCCCAGGCAATGGCTGGCTATTCAGAAGTTGCGGAGCAAAATCCGGAAGAAGGTGGACACGAAGGCCAGCAAAGGAAGGAAAATCAGGTGGGTATATTGGGCTAAATACTCAGTGTGGTGTAGTGGATAGAGAGAGCGACTAGGATTCTGGGCACCAGATTTCAAATCCCCGCTCAGGGTTAGAAATGCCCTGGGGAAGTGGAACTGGTAAAACCAATCATATATATCTCACTTACCTTGAAAAGTCCTGTTAGGGTCACTATCAGCCAGTTCCAACTTGACGGCACAGAAGATACTGGGTTAGTTGTTTTACTCTCTAAAGTTGATTGGTTGCTGCCTTCCCTCTCTTGGGGCCTGTGTCCTTCCTGTTCTGTTTGTGCTATTAATGCAGTTGGGGTTGTATTATTTTCATATGAAGAAAGGGGCAGGCTTCTCCTACTGCTGATTTTTTTCAAATTATTGTTATTCTGTATTGCTTTAATTTTGCATGACTGTTTTGGGCTAAATTGTGAGGTTTCGCTGACCTGGAGCGCAAAGTTGCTGCTCCCAGTTGTAGCATCAGAAAGGTAGGTCTCTGATCCTCCAGATGTTGGGTGGTCACTCTCATTGTTTTAGCTAGCAGTTATGAGGGGTGATGGGGTGGAGACCTGCACACACCTCCTCCCTAGCGTAGGTGGAACTGAACAGGTTTAGGCAGGGAGGCTCAGCTGTCTCAAGCCTGTGAACCCATGTGCACAAAGTCACCTCAGCAAAGAGAGGTGGAGGGATTCAAAACTCCCTCCCCACCCTCTGAAAATCTAGGGATAGCTGGGCAGTGTGGCAGGGGAGAAAAGAGCCCCTTCTATCTCCAGTAATCCCGCAAGCAGGAAGAGATTTGCTCAGCCTTTATGGGTGGTGGGAAATGTTGAGGTTGGCTTACAAGCCAAGGGCTTGCAGGTCTTCTCCCCCAGTATCCCACAGGGCAGTTCATCATCTTCGCCGTGGGCTAAAGCTCATGAGATCCCTATGGAGATCTCTTTGGGGACTGAACAAGTAGTGGCCATAGCTCTCATCTAGTGCTGGGGCCACGGGTTGTTCCCCCTGCCTTGATGGGTAATGAAGCCAATCCCTTCATTTAATACCAAGGTTGGAAACAAATAAATAGCCAGTGGCAGAGATGTATGACTAGAGTTAACATGAACAGACTGTTGAAAGGTGGGTGGCCCTTTACCTGAAGGGTAAAGAGAAGTTCTTGCCAAGGGCAGAAGTGTGGGGTTGAATGATGAGAAGCATTCCAACCAAATGGAATGGGGGCCCAATGCCAGAACAGAATCTGGGAACCCACCAGCCAGTGGAGGCACGGGAAGGGAGGAATGTTCATCTGGAGGACCAGAATCAAAACACAGAAGGAGATATTTTCTTCTAGCGGCAGAGAAGGTGGAAGAACGGCTTTCCTTTCCCGTGTTGTGAGTTAAGGGAAGAGTGGGTTGGGGGAAGAGATATACAACATTAACCATCCTTTTTTTTTTGTCTGTGTGAGCAAGACAATAAATCTTAAGCTGAGATGGCATTTGATGGAAAGTCAGCAAAGTCGGGCTGGGTCAGGCTTGGCATAGCAATTTTTAAGATAGATGTCATAAGATAATATATGAAAAGAGGGAAGAGCTGCTTTGTTGGGCCTAAAAGCCTGTAATTATTGACTATCAATATTCCTTCCTGTCAACGTGGAACACCGCCGGGATGTATTCATGACTCTGTCAGGGCCCCGTGACAAGAATCACACCACCCTGAGCTAGGCTGGGGATTTATTTTTCTCTCTTTTTTGACCCCAAAAGATTGGGAGAGGCCATGGAGTGGGTGGCTTTTAGTTTTCAGAGTTCACACAAAACATAGCTGTTGGCAGTTTCTTTCCAAAGCAGAAAAAACTGGAGAAACACAAACGTTTCTCAAGGTGTCTGTGCTAACTCAACAGAATTCAACTTGGTCCAGAAGATTCTCATTCGCTTCATCAAGAAGAGCTATTAATTGAAGCAAATGCAAATAGGCGAACTATAACAAAATGATTGCTTCAGGTATTTCCAGAGTCATTTGGCATCCTATAAGTGCTTAAGAACCTAGTACCTTATTTATAACTAGAATTATAAATTGTGTATTTATATACAAAAATCGCAAAGTCTTAGAAAGCCAGATCCACCAGATGAACAGAAAAGAGTAGAACATTTATAATCAGACATCGACATTGGTTAGAATCCTATTGGTCTTTGAGTAAAGTTTCCGTGACTTGCTGGGCCTAATTGATGAGGTTCACAGGAGCAGCTCAGTTGCACCATTGAGTGTGTGATCAAGCACACAACATAAATGACAGCTTGGCAATTAGCTGCTGCAAGTTACGTAAACTTTATGGAAACACCAGTATAAGGTGGTGCCCCTTAATACTGGCATTTACAAAAGTGGAGATTCAAAGCTTTAAGATCTAAATCCACATGTTGGAATGAAAGGGTGAAGAGAAAAGAGAGAACATCTCCCTGTCTGGCACTTACACAAAGAGAAATCTGACGCTGGTAGCAGAAGGCTTTAAGGATTTGGAGGCTCTTTAAAACAGCAGATAAAGAAATGATGATGTGCCAGGTATACTTGAGTTTAACATGTTCAGATTTACAGAAAATAAGCCACGTGGGAAGGAGGAGATATCTCCTAAAAGACTTACGTATATCCCAATTCTTCTCTATCAAAATCAGTCTGGAATCAGGATACTTAAAGAACAACTTCCTCCCATATAATACTGTTCAGAGCCGGCCCTACCATTTGGTAGGAATGAGGCTGGTGCTGCATCAGCCACCTAGGTTTGTGAGTTTTGTGCAACTGCATCTGGTTGTTCCTAATTTATTGTTGTGTTTTAATCTCAGGAAGAAAGGGGAGGGGTGGTAAGGTTTTTTTGTTGATGGGCCTAGCTTTGAGTGTGACCCAGTGGATGGGGTTGGTGTTTGCTGCTCCACTTCAGGATCCAAAACATATTGGATGTTCCAAAAGCTTCAGAAAGTTACTTTTTTGAACCACCAACTCCTAGAATTCCCCAGGCCGTAGAAGAGGGCCAAGGAGATTTTTTTTTGCTATCGGTTCCCCTTCACAGTTCCAAAGCTCTAATGGTATTGAATTCCAGAGATACTGGACCACAAAATCCGTCTATGGCTTGGCTTAGAATGCTTCCAGTGACATAAAGTGTCCTTTCTTTTGCTGCTCTCTATCTAAATAGTTACTTAATGGGTCTGAATGTCTGTCTTGTCTCCTTTCTCAGGTATCATGTTCACAGTAAGCTGGTGAGCTTCATGGCACCCATTGACCACTGCACAATGAATGATGATGCCAGGTTAGTAAGCAGTTAATTACGCTTCTCGAAGCGCTTTGTGACAGTTTGATATTGACCTGTTCTTCAGCCTGTCATCATCTCAGGTTCTTTATATCAGTCGGCCATTTGTCACTAGCAGCGCAGCCCCTCTCTGTCTGGGCTGAGACAGCTGTGTGTGCTTCGTTCTTGTCTTTCTCCCCCACCTCCCGCTGGCCAACTCCTGCAGTCACAGACTGTGTTTCTGCGCCGTGCGGCCTAAGCGGTCTCCTTGACGTCTGCAACTCAGATGCTGCAGATATGCTGTGCTTTCCTTCCACAAAGCAAACATTCCCCAAAAGAACTCTCGTGGCACCTTAAAGACTAAAAAGTTTTATTTGACATAAGCTTTTATGGACTGCAGCCCATTTGCTTTGAATTTGCATTTATTCCATGCTCACCAGCGAAGAACTCTCCAAGGGTTTCATTGAACCTTCAAGAAGAACAAATCTGGGATGTTTTAAGCTTGCAAAAGCCACATAGCCACAATGAAGAATAGATTGAAAAATGTGTTGGGTTCTCCTTTCTCTACGAAAATATCCACTTTGCATTTCCCAGGACTAGCAAAGGGACAAAGGCCATATTGCTTTAGAAATCCATATACTGTATTTCTGAAGGGCGTAGTTTGCTTTGGTGAAGCAAAATGTGTATGAAACCATTAGTGTGTTTTGACAAAAAAAGCATGCATGGCTAAAAATGCAGATGTTAAAAAAATGCAAACAAATCCAGTTTAATTCCTGGGAAGAGGCATAAAAAAGTATGTGAAAATATGGAGGGATTTCCAAGCTGGAGGGCATATCTTGCAAGCTTGACCATATTTCCCATGATTTTCTTAGTTGCCCCAAGACTTTCTGTTTCTCTTTCCTCTCTCCCCAACTACAAAATTATCAGAGCCCCTCTCTGGAAGAGTTTAATTTGAAAAGAACGAAGAGGTATCTCAGGTCTTAACTAATGTAGCAGGACAGAGTCTGGTACGGACTCTGCTCCATTCCATCCGTTATCCAAATTGACTCCATTCCATGGAGGTCAGATTGCAAGGCTCTTCTTGTGAGCCTTTCAGACACATCAAGATGCTTTGGGTGATTCTGGATACTGACACGTTGTGCTTAATAAACAGTGTAAGGATGACATTGCAACAACGAGGAAGCCATCTGGCCATCATGTGCCATGTTTGCTTCTCCGTCTTGAGCAATATGGCAAACAAATCCAGAAATCTCGCATTAAGTATGGTTTCGTGTTCCACAAGCTCTTTGTAGTCATTTTGCAACTATGACTCAAATCTCATGGTGATCTGAAGACAGTCCAACTTAAAGACAGCTTGAATTCTGTTCGCTGCAACAGACACAGCTAAGTATCTGGGTGTATGGAGTTTTAATCTGCATTATTTTATTTTTTAAATAAAACACTAAGGTACTGATGAACAGTAGTTATGCTCCAGATTCCACTCTTTTCTCCTGCGGTTAGCAAAGAGTTGGTGACTTCTATTGTTTTTTGTGAAGTCAGCAAGGAAAGAATGCAGCATCCAGTCTAAAATTCTGGTCAATTTCCTCCCTTCTCCCTCTGTTCTATTGTTTATGTGTAATTTGACACACACATCATGCATAGACACACAAAGGGCATGGTAATCGTAACGCTGCTTTCTTTGGGGGCGGTCAAAAGTCATCTCGTTGTTTACCAGTGTGAATTACTAGATGGAAAATGCAAATATACATTTCACAGCGGTGTGATCGTGCGCCGAGCTTTTTGCGCAGTCATTTTGGAGGCTTGACCCCAAAACAAATAAAATATCATACGGCAGGAGGTGTTGCATGTTTACAGTGTGAAAAATCAGGGAAAACAGCATTGTGCTTTTACAGCCTATAAAACAAATTAATTGTCAGGGTGGGGGGAAGAGTACGGAGAGGGGAGAGAAGTATTAAAGGTGCAGAGGCTGTTGAGAAGTGTCAGGATACACAGCAATATATGACTCGGCAGACAGTAGCATGTCTAGGAAAATATCTCTGGAGGTTGAGTTGGTCCTTGGTAGAAAGCTTTTAGGCAGATGTCCAAAACAGGGTTTCCTCTGTGAATCTCTAGACTAGTGGTCCCCAACCTTGGGCGGGGTTTCCTCTCTGAATCTCTAGACCATCATTCCATGATCATTGGCCAGAAGAGATTCTAGAAGACACTATCTGTGTGGAACGGTTCTGCATAGCCTGCCTAACTTTGGAGAACTTATTACGGTTTTCTAAGTTAAGGGGAAAAATCAAGAGAGGCATGGAGTCACTTTGTGCCAGTATTGAAAATCTTATTTAACCATGTGAGCTATCTTCCGAGACCTCAGCAAGGGCACCATACGTATTCCTTTATTGCTCGTGGTTGCATCCAACTAGGAAGCTTTTAAATAAAACAGGAAATGTTGATTTTGACATGTGGTGCTTTTTTCTGTATGGCCTTGGAACTGTGTCGTACAGATATCTTGGAAGTTATCAAGCATCTGTTTAAAATGGCAGATTTCTGCAGGGTAAGGGGATGGATTTTACTGTCAGGTGTTACATAAATGCAAAAAAGAAAAAAAAATGCAAATAGTAAGCGAATGAAATACAGGGTGTAATGTTTTGTGATGGGGTCTCCCCCAACTCTAATTCTGCAAGGAGAGGGACGTGAACATTTCTCAAGAGTTCCTTAATGGTGTTTTGGCGAATGTTATCCCCCCCCCCCCCCCGGCGTGCTA